TTTTAAAATGGCACATGAGAAAATCTTATTTCCAGTAGTATTTACTGAAAAGAAAAAATATTACAGCATCCCATATACAAGTAAGCCTAACTTTAATAATCAGCTTTTTATTTGAAGGGTTAAGATTGTAAAGCAGGGGCAGTCTAAACACTTTTGTGAGGTGGGTAATAAGGTCATAGAAGAATCTATGAGGCTAGATAATGGTAATACTTGCACCTTACATCAGATTGTGAAGGACGTATTCAAAGAGACCATAAATGATATTTTACAGATAGATCTTAATGGAGTGGTTAAAACCGCTGTATAAAAGCCTAATAAAAATAACAAAAGTATCTAGCGTTTCATTTTATAAATGTGAGATAGACATATCTATGAAGAAGCAGATGCTAAATGGCACATAAAAAAAGGCCTGACACTTGAGCTTTATCTTTATAAAATCCCAGAACCAGGCAAACGCTTTGAGTATATTGTAGTTGAGAATGATTCGTCATAGAGGATAGAGGATAAAATAGAGGTAGTGAGGCGATTAGATAAAAAGATCAATATCAGCTATTATCTGAAAACTGTTGTTAGCCTTTGTGCACGATTTATTAACTATGATAAAAGATATCATATAAAATTGTGTAAGGGGTCTTAAAGCAGGTAACAATAAAGCGAATGACGGTAGGATAAATAAAGATGACCTAAATGAAGACGAAGAGGATAAAGATGAAATAGATAAAGATGAGGAATCAAAAATAAGAGATGCTTTAGCGTAGAAATTAGCTAAAAAGTAGATTAGAGAATATACCAAAAGTCTACGTGATAGTTTGAAAAAAGATAAAACCATCATATCTCATTTATAAGAAGGATCACACATTTATGCAAAAAAATTATTTGATACTACTTATTCTGAATAAGGAAGAACACCTGACTAACAATGCTTATTACCAATCATTTCTTAATATGTTAGATAAGCAAGAAGAATCCAAACTTTCATCATTGCTTAAAGAAATTTCTGAGGTTAATATAGAGTATCGAGATAGTTTATATAAATTAATTACTAAGAAGTAAGCAATGTTCCTAGAACAATATTTAACATCATATTATTTGAATGAGTGTAAGCTACTAGCAAATTTTTGAAACATATTATACAAAGTGGTTGGCCTAAAAATCACACGCTATCAAATATTATTGAAGTTACAGGATGATAAAAAAGATAATTCATCTAAAGTAGATATAGACGAGATCATTGAATTATATGGTTAAGTATTTTTAGTGAGATGTGGCAATTTCAGCTAAGAAAACTTAGTCATAAGACGCTTTATATAATATTATTTATATATTTTTTCCTCCTGCAATAATACAAGCTAACTTCAATTCCTATATTTGATCTGATCACAAGGTGACATCTTTTGACCTTCAATTATATAGCCTAGTCTCAGATATGCCCGAAGATATAAATTGCTAGTCTGAACATATTAGTTACTTTTTTTCCATATATTACATATTTTTTTCTCAACTATGATCCATATAATTGCAACCAGTAGTAAGGTAAGTATGGAATATATTATTATCGGCAATATCAAAGAGCTCATGATGATAGGAGTAATTGCTGGTAAGATACTGCTTTTGCACTACATATAGAAATTATTTAGGATAAAGGATTAGGTAAGGTAGAATATCTACTTTATTATGCGAAGTGCTTCTTGACTCTTTCTTCAATAGTAATTCTTGAAGATGAGCGTTTTTCTCTAGTAAATTTAATCATGCTGAAGATAAGAAGTCTAGCTTCCATTTATATATGATGTCTGTTACCTCTATTCCCATTTCCATATATTCTATTTCATATTTTTTTGAATTAAGGTCTTCATAAATTCGCTTCAGTTTGAGCCTTTATTTCAGATGAGCTTATTTAGCCCAGCTCTTCTATTACCCTCCTATTACATCCAAATCATGATATGAACGCTCTAGATCTATATCTTTCAACTTATCTTTCAATTTAACTATCTTAGCTTCAAAAGAGAGAATCTTGATCTTGTTAGTAGACAAAGCTTTCTGGGTCAAAGTTAGCTCTCTTTTTAGTGTTTTAATAAAAGATTTGAGCGATTTAATTTTAGCAGTATATTTAGTTTCAAGCTCACATTGACTCTTAGAATGAAACTTCTATTCAGAAATAAGTTGGAATCTAACTTTAGTGTTAGATGCATTTAACTGACTAATCTTATTTCCAATATCAACATAGGTTCACTGAAACTCCTTTTTCTATTTATTGTATTTATCTACTAGTTTTTCACTAAGATCATTAATCTCAGAGTTAAATTCAATAATAGATCTTAATTTTTTTTGAGCTCTTACTCATATACACTATTCAGCCGATAACCAGGTTTTTTATAAGAACCACCCTCTCTATCTTTTATATCATTCAATGTATACATATTAGACATAATATTAGCATGGTTATATATTAGAAAAAAATGCATAAATAAAATTTTCGAGATAATAGACATAATCTGTTTATTCAGAATAATATATTCTTTCTGAATATCCTGTTTATCCCATATATCTTATACATCTAGAATATTTCTTCCTATATATCCTATATATCCTATATATTCAGAATAATACATTCTTTCTATATATCTTATTTAATAAATTATTTTAAAATATTATATTAGATATAAAAAAATATTGCTACTATGCTTAGGCAATGTATGAGATATGATACCTTCTTTTTCACCAGCCGATTATGATCATATTATGCAATGTGCTAGATAAAGCTTTAAAGGATTTAACAGATAAATATTGCACATCATAAAAATATATTTATCAGATTTGAAGAGGTGAAGAAAAAAATAGGATTATATAGAATCAACCAATTCATATGTCAACAACTGATCCTGAAGAGATCACTTCACTTTCTAATATAAATATTGTAAGCAAGCAGACTGAATCAGAGATCTAAGACCAAGATGTTTTCCTATTTACAGAACTGAAAAAACAAATACATGATACTAAGATAGAGCCTAATAAATCTATTGATTCAGTTTTAGAAGAAGGTGAGAAAGCAAAAAAGACTGGAAGAAAGAAATCAAAGTCTAAAGGTGGGTTACCATCGCTAATTCCATCTCCTATCTAGTCTTAACTAATTCCCACATTGTATGAGAAGATAGTTGAAAGAAACGTAAAAAATATAGTAAATATAAAGAATATATTAGAAAAATAACTCACCTATTCTTTAAAAAATTCATCATAGCAGGTTTGTAATCTTTTACAATAATCATTGATTTCTGCATTATACTTAAGAGTGCTATATAGCATTTTTTCAAGTTCCTTATAACTCACTTTTTTTTATGTATCATCTTCACTTAAATCTTGTGAAATACAGTTTGGAGTCAAGGAAGTATCATATTCAGGAGTAGTTCTTGCATAATTCACCTCGAGCTTATTCTTGACCTTATGCATATTAATTGGGATAAAAAAATTCCTTACTATTATACTCTAGTCTCAATTCTCGCTTTGATGCAAGTAAATTATAATTATATTTATCGAAAAGTATGTTGGGTAAGATTAGCATTAGCTTAGAATACTTAACTACAGCAAAATCAGCATATATAGTACATCCAGAAGTGAAGTTTACTAGGACATTTCTAATAATTCCAAGTGACTCTATAGGAGTAGTAGCAATGCCTCTGAGATCATGTTTTTCTTTTATATCAATTACTAGTTTTAATCATTTAGATATATCCTCAGATATGATCAGAAAATTAGCATCAGGATCAACTGTCCCTGCCAGAATCACTAAACGTTAATTTTACATTAACAGTAACAACATCTATGGTGGATTCTTTTCTTTGGACAAAGTCTATCTCTATAGAATTATCAATGAACTTATCATCATCAGAATCAGCTGTTATTTTAAAATTACCATTTTGCAGGTGAAGGAGAGTTGTAATAGTGCCAAACTTTTTATTAAGCACCTTCTTAATAATTTTCTCAATAATTTTTTCTAGGTGAGATTGGCATCCTGTGACAAGAACTTTGAGCTTTGCTTTTTCTTTTTAGAGATAAGAATCAATGCTAAAGAAGAAGTTTTTATATCTTTTACTTTATAAGACTTGCAAGTCTTTGATTTCTTTTTCTGCAAGAAAATAATAGTGCTATATCCTTTCTTCACTTTTTTTTGCCTGAGATATATTAACATTAATTTCAGCATCAGCCTTAGCCTCAGACTCTGATTTAGAAGAAGAACTCTCAGAGCTAGAAGAGCTATTCTTAGACTCAGATGAAGAACTATCATTATCAGAAGAATTCGAATCTGATTAATTGTCTACTCTAGCTATATGGATTCAATTACTTTTGGATTTTTTTTTCTTAGACTTATTTTTTGATTTCGTTTTCTTTGTTTTAGAAGTTTTACAGATAGGTTTATGGCCACTTTTATGTAACTTTTTGACCGCATTAATTTGTTTGAAAAGCTTGACATAGTTAGCATTAGCAACGTCTAATCTCCTTATTAATTCATCATTAACAAAATTATTCAAGGATATAAGATCTCTTGGTGCATCAGGTGGCATTTCTAAATACACTGCATGTATATACATCTTTTTTAAGGTCTTATTATATAAAGGGTTCTGAATACTCTAAGAATGTATCTGATTTGATTAGGCTATTTGTTCTTGTAGCAATACTTGGATTTGAGCATTAATAATTTTTCAACATCTATGGTAGTAATGCCCTGATTTATCGAAGCCTTTTGAGCTATTGATTAGTTATAGATATTCTCATCCAAAAGCATTTCACTCTTTTCTTTTTTAATTTCTTCCAAATTTTCAATCAAATCATTATTTAATGTTCTATTTAGTCCCAAGCGTTTGACTTTTAACTTATTTTCAGAATTTAATTCACAAAGAAATTGCATTCTTTTTTTGCAATTACCAATTTGTGTTAATTTTGCATACTTACATAATTTCTATAGTATTCTCTAATCAGAAAATTATTTTGTACCAGATTGCCAAAAATTAATTTCTGTTACTTTCAAACTTCTGTGGTGTAAGTAGTTCTTCATAAATACAATTCTTGACTAATATTAATATCAGGAAGAACAATTTAATTGTTATTATTCATAACTCCATTTAAAATATTATTTGCTATAGCAGAATCTACAGCGCACTCCAGCATAAGAATAATCTTTATCTATATGTACATCATGCACTTGGATAACAAAAGCTTCAATAGCTTCAGCTGGTAATGCTGATGCAACCATTCCATCAGAAGCATTTATTTAAAGAGCTATTATTTGACCGTTATTTAGGACATGAACGGCAGTCATATTAGTTAAATTATTGCTAACGGTGATATGATTTAACCAAAACTTTTTTTCAGCAATTTTAGTTTCATGCTACTGGAAAGTATCGTCTATTAAGGTTGATTGTCATAATGCTAAAGCTCTCTGTTTACCTTGCGCATTATTCGTGATAATTCTGGTAGCTATTAAATAAAAACAATAATTTTTAATATGCTCATCTAAGTTCTCATCACCTCTACCTGAATACCTTAGTAGTGAATATCTTGCTATACCTATATGTTATATATTAGGTAGATTATTCTGAAGTGCCAAAATTTGTCCTTGCAAATTTAAAATATTCTGGTCTCTTTGCCTAATCACTAGCTGAAAAACAAACTTTTCACATAACAATTCACTAATACAGGTTTATTTTCTTGCTATAATAACTAACATCCTATTTATCTAATTTTGGATATTAGTCTGTAACTGTTAGATATTTTGCTGAAGACAGTTATTATCTCGCTAATACAATAGCTGTTTAGCAAATTTTTCTCACAATAATCCTTGAACACGCCTATCTTTATTCTGATATGAAAATATCTAGCGACAGGATTCTTGTCTCTCATTATTATAGACCAACATAGCCAAGTCCCACTCTCCTTGAACATTGTCTCTTTCTCTCACAGTTCTTTCAACCTGAACTTAGGATTCATCTAATAAATGTTGTAACCGTAAATTCTGATTTTCAATATCAGTAAACTGATTCTTAAGATTATCTACTCGCTGAATTGAATCATGTAATAAGTTCTGATATTGATCACGCTCAGTTGTAATATTTTGCAAAGTAATCTGAATAGTATTTAACAAGCCTCTAATGCCATCTATCATTAGCAGGATTCTGCATAGGCGTACTAACTCCCTTAATGTAATTTTCAATTCAATCTAATCCTCTATTAATATTTGCAATAAGATTAGTCGTTACTATATCTAAAGCATTTATTGAGATTTTTTTATTTATGAGAATCCAGATTCTTGCTTTAAGACTTTCAATCTTATTTTCGAGTTTATAATTCAACCATCTTAAATAGACCCAACTTCATCTTTGAATTTTTTATCCTGTTGTAAAACCCTAAGCTGTTTTTGCAAATTAAATATTTCTGATTTAAGTTCCTCTATCTCTTTCTCATAGGTTATAATACTATTATCCTGAAATGAGATAGTTTTATAATATTGCTCAAGCTCCTTTATAAGAGATCAAATTTTTTCTAATTATTTTTATTAATAGAAATCTGAAGTTCCTGATTTGTATCTAACAGTTGTGAATATACTAGATTACATAAAAGTGTAGGCATAGTATTTTCAATTCAATTTAAAGAGCTTTATATAATCATAGTATAAGAATGAGTCAACCACAGATTATAATAGATCTTAATAAAGAGCTTTGCATAGTATGTAGACTTCTGTATTATAATATTTCTGGATTTTAACTGAATGCTAAGAAATTGCAAAAAAAATGTCAAGATGAAGGGTTTCAAAGTTTTCAATTGCAGGACATTGCAAAGTGATTAGAATATCAATATAGCTATCAAATTTATCAACACCCATTACCTTATAAAGCTAAGGTGAGTTTTTCAAAAATTAAGATTCTGAATAAAATCCATCAATGTAATATATTATTCTATATCTATGATCAGGATAGTAGAAGGATATTTGTTTGTAGTTTTCTAATCATAGATATAGTAATACATTTTAAGGATAGATATTTATTAACATTGAGAAATAACTTAAAAATCTAAAATGCGGTTAAAGAAATATATGAAGACCCTTCTAATTCTCTTATATAGCTAGAATTATTAATGACTGATAGTGATGCTTTGTTTTGAGATGCATTTTTACAAGAGATGTAATAATATAATATCACTATAAATGTTGTTGACCTTTATAGTTTTGAGAGTTTGACTTACATTAAAGCGTTTAAGAAAATAATAGCACAATTAACATATGGGAGTGTTTCTAGGAAAATCAGGTTCTGAGAAATTTTTGACTAAAATTAAGAGCTTAATACATTTTAATCTAATTACATCAAAAACTAAAATGCAATAAAAATCTCAATTTTGCTAAAAAATTCCCGGAACCTGATTTTCCTAGCAATCTACCCATATAAGATCCAATATGCTATAGAGGGATAATTAACCAATGGAAAGCGATTAAGAATATTTAGAAGAATCCTCAAGAAGTATATTAATTATCTAAATAATAGTAAGACTTGCCTTATTGGAATATCACCAGTTCATGCTATGACTTTAGAAAAAGTTGAATCAAAGCTTTCTAAAAAATCTAAGTATGCAATCAGAAAAAATGAGGAGATAAAATTACAAAAAAGTATAGTAATTAAATATCTGTTAAAAGTAAGCGAGTTAAAAGGAGATCATAGATGTAGAATAACTGACCTGTACTAGAGCTTGCATATCTATAGAATAAAAAGAGTCATTGTCAGAAGAAATCCACTACAACTAGTCTTATATTATCTCGAGAGTGAATCCATTGAATCAACTGCCTATCTGATGAGGCGAAATCCAAAAAGACCCTTTAAATATAAGGAATTTCAAGTAGTGAGAAACCTGATAAAATCGAGTATTCACTTAATAGATTTATGTGAAAATATCATCCTACTGGATTCGTTCATTATATTCAAATTGCTAATGATAATTTAACTGAAGTCTATCAATATGCTGAAAAATGTGGTGGCCAATGCCTATGAAGAACTGGATGAGTAAATGATCATAATGTTTATCTTTGATCCTATGAAAATGGTGTGCATCAATGGGAGTATCCATTAAAATATATCATGAAAAAATTTGAATAGTGCCTTCTATGTCACCATATTACTAAAAGAAATGTACGTTACATTTTCAAGGATCTTCTAAGTAAGAAATTTCCACCATGTAGGCCTAATTTTTTGGATAAGATGCATCTCGATAGGTATAATAAGGAATTGCGTCTTGCATTCAAATATCAGGATTCCAATACTATCGACATAATAGCTTATACCATCAGAAGAGCGAAAGTTTAGAAACCCAAAAAATGCGTGATTAAAAGAAGCAGGATATATGTAAAGAACAAGTATATGTCTTATTGAAGTTTTGTATACTGCTGATCTCCTGTCTTACATTAGACATACTCTAATTGAGAAAGAATTCTTGAGTATTCTTGGCAATTTTTCATGATGGCCATCATGCAAATTTGCAAGATTATTTTTAGAATATTATTAGTAATAGTTTGACATGAAAATAAAGAAACTTGAGCCAGTTGAAAGGCTTATTTACCATATTAACAAGATTAAAGATGCTCAAAAATTTAATGAACATTTGAGTATTCCCTAATAATCTTTCACCCTTCTGATCTGTGATCATACTAATTAAGAAAAACTAATGAAGTTTTTAATCTTATACTTAGAAATAAGTTTTATCAAATGTTTAATGAAAAGAAAGGAGGGATGTGCTATATCAAGTGTGATGATTTACTCTTAATCAGCTACTAACTCAAAAAACTGAAATATATATACCTCAAATCAGCATTCCAGATAATTGCAAATAGTCTGAAACTATATCATGAAAATATTACATTCTGAGCTTTAAACCTGATAAAATTCCTAAGATGGATTCCTTTTTTCTGAATAGAGGTACAGCGACTATATTCAAAGATATATGTGCTGATCTGAAAAAAATGCAGGAGAAAATCATCCCCTATTTTGTTGAAGGGTGACATTATAACATCATTTCGATATATGTATCTCAAAATTACTTTGACTACTCAAAGATAATATGAAAAAATCTCACACATATCTGCCTATTTAATGGGTCATGCATTACAGATGAGCAGTCAAAATTTTGCATCAATATTCTAATGACTGGCGTAGTATGATTAAAATTATTGACAAGCATTTATGTGAGTAAAAATTCATTGTTTTTGATCTAACTATATCTCGCGAGCATTCACATAGAATATGCATCAGCTGAAATATACCTCTTACTAATAAGTAGAATTTTCTTAGATACTAAAGACGAAATATATATTTTTTCCTGATTTCTAAATCATGTTCAGATTCACTACGTCTTTTTGCCTATAATTTCCTTTCATAAGTGCTAGAATATATTTCTGATTTTATAATCATATCACTATACTCCGTTTTAGAAAGAATCTGATCAATAAGAGCGATAATTTTCCTGTCCTTAGTGAAAATAATATCCTCCAGATTCTAGCATTTATTCTCTAATATGTCAATAGATTTTTTGGCAGATGCAATAGCTTTTTTCATATCAGGAATTATATTTTTGAAGAAAGCTACTGAATCTGATAATTAGATGACTTTTTCACCACTCTCCTTTAAAGACCTGATCATGGCTATCTCACAAGACTTATATTGCTCTTACAAGTCGAGAAGCTCTTCAATCTTTTTTTTTAATACCTACTTTAATATACACAATTCCTCATTTTCTTGCCTTAATGAAGTTTTATAGTTACTAGTAATAGACTTCATCTTCTGACGCTCTTTTTGCTTAATATAATTTTCAACCGCCTTATTTAACAAATCTTCTATTTCAGGATAGATACTATTTGCCTGTTCTAGCGATAATGGATGTTTTCGTGATGTAAAACGTCACTATGTATCTATTTGATAGAACAAGAAAGCTGGTTAAGTTGCTTTGAATAATATACGTAAAAAGATGGATAGTGTTAGTATACCAGTCATTGTTACCACAGGTAACTAATAAAAAAATTTTGAGAATTTTATAGATTCAGAAATTTTATAAGAAAAATTTTGAGAATGTTACACATTCAGAAATTTACGCGCTAGTGAGCATATCATGAGTTGCGTTATATATATCAGGAGATCAGCTAGTCCTATCAAATTATATGACTTTGATCGTTAATAGTTTTATCATTCTCAACTCTAATTTTATTATTCTCAACCTTAA